GATGATGACGATGACGATGACGATGAGGAGGAGGAGGAGGAGGAACAGCAGCAGGACGTTGAGCAGCAGCAGCAGAAGCAGCAGCAGCAGCAGCAGCAGCAGTGTGAGGAGTCGAAGCCAGAGCATGTGATGAGGTGTTGAAGCGGGCTGGCGGGTCGGGCGGGCCCTTGACTATCTGGACTGGCAAAAGGGCGTTTAAGCGGGCGGACAGGATATCAAGCCTGCATGCGGGCGGACCCTACCCCGCGGGTTGGCCATGCCCTAACGGGCTGCGTGGCGGGAGGACCCTGGCAGGCGGGTCGGGCACGCGGACCCTAACGGACGGGTCGTGCGGGCTAGGCGTTCAAGCGGGCGGACGGGGTATTACCCATGACAGCGGGCGGACCCGTATGGGCGGGCAGGCGGACCCTAGCGGGCGGGTCGGGCGAGAGAACCCTGACGGTCGGGTCGTGCGGTCGGACTCTAACGGGCGGGCCAGGCGGGCCGGACAATGAAGCGGGCGGGTAGGCTGTGAGCCGCGCACAGGAGCGGCCCCCGACGAGCAGGTCGGAAGGGCGTGCGGTAACGACGGCAACGATTGCCACGACGAGACGATGGCAACGACGAGGGCCACGACAGCTACGATGATGGCGACGATGGCGATGCCGCTGACGACGACGACCAGGCGGTGAAGACGACGAGGAGGACGACGAGAAGGGAAGGGCGACGAAGAAGGGTAACGACGACGACGACGACGACGACGACGACGGCCACGACTGCGATGGCGACGACGAGGCTTATGGCAACAACGACGCGTGAAGGCGACGACAATCTTTGTTGTTCCTGCTTTTTAGGAAGAAAGCGACAACGACGACGACGACGACGGCGACGCCGAATTCAATGACGTGTCCAACGACGGCCCGCTTTGAAAAAGAACTGCCCTGCATCCGTGAACCGGTGCTGGTGGCACAGCTGAGATCATCTCAAGCAATAAACCCAACATCTGAAAGGAACCGCACTCCATCCATGCATACTTGCGCCAGTGTATATTTCTGGACATAAGCGTGGAGGATATCTCTCTCAGGAGCCACCCTCCATCCGTGCAACTGCTGCACAGTTCCGCTTGTGGTCGCAAAATCAGGGGAACACACAAATGAGAGCCAGATTTTGAAAATGGTCTGCCCTCAGTCTGTGTAGCTGCTGAATTTGTTCAAGATGAGTGTCCGCGGCGGCAAGGCGCGAACTCCATTGAGAAAACCGTCCGCCCTCAATGCGTGTAACTAATGGATTGGTCTAAGACGAGTGCACACGGTGCCATTGGCGCCGTGTGCACTCGTCTTGAAGGCGCCTTGCAGGCGATATCCTAAGGCGATATCGCCTTGAAGGCGATGTCCTTATGTTGAAAACGATGCGCCTCCTATCCGTAACTGTTACAAGTATCGTAAGCTTCACGATAGTAAGCGGTGATAAAATCTCAGGCGAAGCACTGGGCCCGCCCTAGCGACACGTCGAGAAGGTGGAGTTTTGTATAAGGAAAAAGGATGGAGCGCCAGCAGGATCACGGGGAGCGGGATGGAAAGTGCCGCTTCTTGAGCTTTCCTCGGTGGGGGGCCTTGGGGCGCTCCTGGGGGCTCTTGGGGGCCTCTTGGGGTCTCCCAGAGCGCTGCTGGAAGCCTCCTGGTCCCCGTTGGGATGTGGGGGCCTCTTTCGGGATAGACAAGCGGGGCAGATAGGAGGGGCGATCGGGTACAATGAGGTACACGCAGACGCGATCACATCCGCCTGCACCTGATCGCAGGCGAAAGCGCCAGATCCCGAAAAACAGTGAATACCGTGACTTAACAGCGTGAGAAGGTCAGTACACGTGGCGGCGCGCACAAGGGGGTAGGAGGAGGGGGGAAGGCTTCTTAAAAGGAGCAGGGCGCCAGCCCTGCACAGCCCTGCATCGACAGAGAAGGTCAGCGCCCGCCGTCGTCGTCGTCGTCGTCGTCGACGTCGATGTCGGTGTCGGCGGCGTCGTCGGCGTCGTCGTCGTCGGCGGCGGCGGCGTCGGCGTCGGCGTCGGCGTCGTCGGCGTCGTCGGCGTCGTCGGCGTCGTCGGCGTCGTCGGCGTCGTCGTCGTCGTCAGCGGCGGCGGCGACGTCGGCGTCGGCGTCGGCGTCGTCGGTTGAGCTTGAGGCTGAGATTGGGGAAGAGGAGGCGGAGGGTGGCTGATCTCCTCCTGACGTCGCATCTGTCTCGAGACGTGGGCTCCCGGGGATCCCGGCCTTTCTCAAGTGGCCGGCTTTCCCTCCCGATTTGTGTGTTGGCGGTCCCAGTGGCGGGATACGGCCTCCGAAGGCCGGCAACGTGCAGAAGCCGCCGCGGTGTTCCTGGCACACCTGGACCCGAGGGCACGTCGTCCTCCCCGGTGCCTTTGGGCCTGGGCCGTGGGTGGCTGGGCCTGACTGGCCGCAGCTGGAAAGGCCATATTGTTTTTGTTTGTTGACTCTTCCCCTCGAGGGAGAGAGAGAGCGAGAGAGAGAGAGAGCGAGCGAGCGCGCGAGCGAGCGAGCCTCGAGTCGGCAGGTGAATTACTAGAAGACCTAAGCGAGTGAAAGACCGCGAGAGAGAGAGAGGGAATCGAGGAGCGTGAGAGCGCGCAACGATCCGACCATCGGACCGTTGTCAGAGTGAAGACGCGGAGAAACCAGATCAGCATGTGTGCCCGAGTATTCCACAAGCACAAGCCCTGGCACGTGCCGAGACGAATGGCCAGAAGGCAGCAGTGCACGGACTAGTCGCTGAACGTGTTGGTGGCGAGTGGAGGCCAGTGGCCGACGACGCGCCGCAGGCGAGAGGGATACCTGGTTGATGAGCTGTGCCCGCGCTGTCGCCAGGAGCCAGAATGACTGTTCAACAGAATTTGGACATGCAGTAAAACAAGTGCGAGGATTTTCCTCAGTTCCGCCGCTCTGAGTCCCTGGTCCCACAAGCCCTCGCTGGTCATGAAGCCAACCGGGTCTCTGGCTCCGTGGGCTCCCTTCACAGCATCTGACCTCCCCGATGTTCTGAAGATAAGCGATGTGACCCTTCAGTTTGGGGACGGCTGCCTGGACGACGTTCGGGAGGGGTGGTGACTGTGTTCGGGGACGGGTCGAGGGGGAAGTCTCGGACGACCCCAGGAGGAGATGCTGCGGAGCAGCTGTCACCACACTGTTGAAGAGACCTGGCAATTATGTGCGATGATAGCTGCGCCGTTGTTGGGTTTTCGGCAGAGCGTCCAGGGGGCCGAAACACCTGCGCTGGTGTTGGCCTTGGAACGAACCACGGGACCCCTGCATATGTGACCGACCATGAGGCATTGGTTAAAAATTGGGCGGCACCTAGCGTTAGGCGAAATAGAGGCAAGAATGACGACCTGTGGCACCGTGCTAGGCTTGCTCTCCAGGCCCCGTGCCCCTGGCCAGGTCCCCCCTGAGTGGATGCCCCCGCATTCAGAGGAGAACCTTGCGAGGCTCCGCGCACCGCGGCATGTTTGCCTGGCTGCGGGCAACACGACAGCGGATGCGGGTGTTGGGGCGGGTAGGGCGGCGGAGTTGGCGTGGGAGGAGGCTTGCACTCAGAGAGCCGACCAGGCGGATGCTTGGGATGCGATGGCGGCCCTGGTGAGAGCCAGAGCCAGACGAGCCATGCAGCTGACGCTGGAGGCGGGAGGCAGGAGAGCGGAGCCGGAGCAGAGAGGCAGGACGATCTCCAGGTCTCGCCTTGCGACTCTTGCCTCCTCCTCGACCCACTCCCTCCAAAATAATGGGAGGAAATGGCATTGCCGTGTGCGCCGCAGGCTTCTTGAGCAACTGGACCCCTATCATCCCCCAGGTTCCCAGAGGCAGCTCAGGGCTTTGTGCGACTTCCAGGGGCACCCAAGAGAGAGAGGGTGAAAGCCGAGTGCATGCACACGATGAATTTCTGACCGAAATATCTGTTGCACTTTGTGCTGCTGCAAATTCGGTGCAATTGACTCTGGTCAGTTGTTTGAGCTTTGCCCTGGCAAGAACCGGAAAGGTAAAGACAACCGCTCGAGAATTAGGACCTTTACCCGAGAAGGGAAGGGCCACCGAGATCGGTCCTGGAGGCACTCCACCAAGCAGAGACTGGTGAGATGATCGCGACCGAAGGCATGAAATACCCCTCCAGCCAGGAAAAAGGAGCCTGGGGGAAAGTCCAGGGAGCCTGGGTCCTGGTCCGTCGCTGAGTTTGGGGCGTCTGAGGGAAATGGTCCTAGGCTGGGTGGGCAGAATTGTCCCCGAGGGTACTGCAGAAATATCAAGGGAGTGTACTGTTGTGCCGGAAGAGCCTCCTGACCCTGAAGAGAAGGCTGCCGACTGGCCCGCTGGGCACTCGAGGCGGTCTGGAGCGAGGCCTCGAGTGATGTGAGTCATGCGACCGCGCGCCATGTTGTCCGTTGGCTTCGTGCTATCGGCAGGGTGGTGTGTTGGTCGCACCGCGTTGGCGGCCACATTTAGAATCCTTCGTTCGAATCCTCCCCCTCTGCCTCCAACTCTTCCTCATCCTCATCCTCCGCTTCCAACTATTCCTCCCCCTCCTCCGCCTCCAACTCTTCCTCCTTCTCCTCCGCCTCCAACTCTCCTCCTCCTCCTCCTCCTCCTCCTCCTCGTCCTCCTCCTCCTCCTCGTCCTCCTCCTCCTCCTCTTCCTCCTCCGCTTCCTTCTCCTTCGCCTAGACATCGTCGTCACCCTCCTCATCCTCCTCCTCCCCCCTCCCTCCTGCTGCTCGCAAGGTGGCCTGAGCAGTATGTGTGCTTCCCGCAGGGTCGGCGCAAGAGAAAGAGGGAGGGAGAGGGCCATGGAGGGAGGAGTGCTTGGAGAGGGGAGCGACCGACCACGCGCCGAGGCCTCGGGCAGGCATCCCACGGGATGGGCAGACCCCCTTTCTTGTGCGCAGTGCGTGGCAGGGCCAATGTCTACGCTACAGTGACACTGGCGCTCGAGCCAGGGCGAATTACAGGCTGGCCAACACAATCATTCGAGGCCGAGCCTGGGGCGTATTCGCTCGATTGAGGCGAAGTCGCGCACGTCGAGGTTGTAGGACCCCTCCGCGCCTGCCTTCGGCTCGTTGAACGACCGCACCATTGCAGGCAACCACGTGCTGAGCGTCTCGCTTTGGTAGTGGACGAGTGTGTACGCTGGCCACGCGTCCGCGGCTGACACGGTCGAGTCCGGGGACATGTCCCGGAGCCTGCTGGAGGGGCCGCCCAAATCAAACAGGAAAGAGAGGAGACCAACTGAACAACGCTGACATACGGCAAGTTCCCGCGGTGACGACGTGGACCCAAGTTTCTGACACTACGTGAGCCGTTCAACCTTGAATGGTGTCCACTCTCGGAGCATCCCAGACCCCATCTTTCGTACGGATATCGCCCCGCGGATTGCTTTCTATGATCCTGGGGCCCGAAACGGGCCCCCTAGGAGTGTTGCTTCGCTTGATTTGCTTTGTTTGGTGTTGTGCGTGACGTGTTGTTCTGCAAATCTTTTCGAATACCCGCAAACAAATTTGTGATCGTATCACAATAGGAATACATGGGTAAATCGCATACAGAACTTCCTCTGTAAAGCCGCACGACAGGATTATACATGTAACGCACATAAAAATAGAAATCAGCATGAAAATCACCCCCAAAGGAATCTTGCTGTACAGCCCAACAGAAGGATTCCATCTGCAAGCCGCACAAGAAGGCTCAAGCTGTACATCGCCCACTTAAAGGAATTCCAGTGCAAAGCCGAACAAGCGGAAAACCATCATAATGCCAAACCACACAAGATAGTTTGATTTGTAAGCCGCACAAGGACCAACATGTACATCACATACAAAACGAATCCTAGCGCACAGGCCTACAAAAGGTTGTCATTTGGAACCCACACAACAATATTCAATTTGTAGATTGCCCACCAAAAATCTTCTTTCAAAGGGAGCCAGAAAACATGGGATGAGGCCGAAATAATAACAAAACAACCATGCACATGTCGTGTTGGTTCCCATTGCTATACACAAGTATGTATATATATACACATATATATACACAAATCGGAGGTTGGGGGGTGAGATCGCAATGAAACGGAGACCCCCCACCGGGAAATCGGTTTCGGTTTCGTGTTCGTGTCGTGCGTGCGGGCGAGGCGAAGCTGCGCGTGATCCTCCTGTAGCTAGGCCGAAGTAGGAGCAAAAGTCCGTGCGCCCAGCAGCTGGTGGCTGGGACTGGGCCCGCGGTGTCCCGCCAATGTCCCGTGGTATCCCGTGGTATCCCGTCCGCCGGTGGCTGGGACTGGGCCCGCGGTATCCCAGCGGTGTCCCGGCGGTGTCCCGTGGTGTCCCGTTGGGTGAGATCGATCGTGAGATCGATAGTGAGATCGATACTGAGATCGATGTGGTGCCCCGAGGTGTCCCGTGGTGTCCCGTTGAGTGAGATCGATAGTGAGATCGATACTGAGATCGACAGGTGTCCCGTGGTGTCCCGTTGAGTGAAATCGATAGTGAGATCGATACTGAGATCGATGTGGTGCCCCGAGGTGACCCGTGGTGTCCCGCTGAGTGAGATCGATAGTAGTGAGATGGATAGTGAGATCGATACTGAGATCGACAAGTGTCCCGAGGTGTCCCGTGGTGTCCCGTTGAGTGAGATCGATAGTGAGATCGATCGTGAGATCGATAGTGAGATCGATAGTGTGTCCCGCGGAGCCCCGTGGTGTCCCGTGGTGTCCCGTTGAGTGAGATCCGTAGTGAGATCGATAGTGAGATCGACAAGTGTCCCGTGGTGTCCCGTTGAGTGAGATCGATAGTGAGATCGATCGAGTCAAATATTGGTTCCCCCCCCTCCGCCCCCCACAACCTCCTTATCACCCGAAAGGTGGTCGTATAGGTACATATACATCTCCGCCGGCCCCCCTGTGGGGCCATCAGGCTGCGAGGATTAGGTTGCAGTACCCTGCACCAGTTCCAGTTTCCAGTCTCCGATGTTACAGTCCTGCTTTCTGCTTCCTACTGTAAATTGTTGAAGTCCCGGCGAGCGGGGGGGGAGCCGAAAAGCATCCGGTTACCACCCCCGAGTCGGGTGCTCTGAATTCCTGCGCGGGGCCGCGGGACATGTAAATATACGTGAGGCTCGCGCTCCCGACGCAGTAATCCCGAGGCCACGATCCCTCGTAAACTGCACCAGATTCGCGTCTCCGAAGCCACGATCCCTCGTAAAATACTTCGTGCTTGCGCCCCCGAGGCCACGATCTCCCGCAAATTACACTACAGTCGCGCCTCTGGGGCCACGAACAAATTGTTGTTAAGCCACGCCGACACGATCCCCCGTAAATTACGCCACGCTCGCGTTCCCGAGGCCACGATCCCCCGCAAATTGCGCCACGTTCGCGTCCCCGAAGCGACAATCCCGGGTAAAATACATGATATTCTGTCCCCCGAGGCCACTATTTCTAATAAATGACTCTACATTCACGCCTCTGAGACCACGACCCACGGTAAATTACGCCACAGTTGCACCCCTGAGGCAACGACACCTTGTAAATTACTTGATCTTCGCGTCCCCGAAGCCCCTAACCTTTGCAAGTTATGTAACTTGTGCGTCCCGAGGCAGAAAACCCTTCTAAAATATGCCATATTCGCGTCCCCCGAAGCCATTAAACATGGCAAATTACCCACTTCTTGCACCCCCGAGGCAACAAATCATCATAAAGTACTCAAGTGTTGCGTCCCCGAGGCAACAAACCCTCGCACATTGCTCAATTGTCGCGTCCCCGAAGCCAGAATCCTTTGCAAGTTACACAATAGTCGCGTCCCCGAGGCAAGAAACCCTCGCACATTGCTCAATTGTCGCGTCCCCGAAGCCAGAATCCTTTGCAAGTTACACAATAGTCGCGCCTCCCTAGGCTACAACCCTCGCAAATTGCTAATTCTTGCGTCGCCGAGGCAACAAATCCTTGTAATGTATTCAGTAGTCGCGTCCACGTGGCCATAAACCCTCGCAGGTTCGGCCATATTCGCATTGCCGAAGCTAAGAATGCTCCAAGACGCCCGAATATGATTCCAAGACGGCCCAAGAGGGCCCCAAGCGGCCCCAAGAGCGCTCCAACATGCCTCCCGAGAGAGCCCCAAGATGCCAACATCGTCGATGTTACAAACGTTTTTGAAGGAGTTTGGGGTTCTCGCATCTTCGGCTTGCCGACGCTCCAAGATGGCTCAAGAAGCTCCCAAAAACACCCCAAGACAACCCAAGACGCCTCCAAGAGGGCTCCAAGAGGGCCCGAGACGGCTCCAAGATGGCCCAAGAAGCGTTCCGAGAAGCTCCGCGAAACCCCCAGGAGGCCCCCAGAAGCCCCAAGAGGCTCCCGAGACGCGCCAAAGAGGCCTCCAAGAGGCCCAAAAGATACCACGCGAGGCCCCAAGAGGCCCCCAAGAGGAGCCGACACCGCCTCCAAGAGGCCCCCGAGGCTCCCCACGACGCCCCAACACATATACAAGGGGCCTCAGACCCACAACCGAGACACGATGGCGGGCCCCAAGACGGCCTCAAGAGAGCCCCAAGACGGCCCACGAGGCCTCCAACACGCCCAAGATGGCCTCCAAGACGCCCAAGATGGCCTCCAAGACGGCCCCGAAGCGCCCCAAGAGGGCCCCCAATCGGCCCAGAAAGGCCCCGAAGACGGCTCCCGACGGCGTCGGACGTGCCAGGAACCCACCAAGATGGCCAAAGTTGGCTCGAACCTGGCCCAAGACGGCCCAAGAGGCCCCCAAGAGGGCCTCCAGGAAGGCCAGAAGAGGCCAAAAACATTGATTTTCCTAAGGTGTTCGACGGATGTTGACATTTCCTTCTTTTCGGCCTTCCGACGGCCCGAGACGGCCCAAGAGCCCCCAAAGATCGCCGAAAGATCGTCCAAGAGGCCTCCAAGATGGCCCCAGAACGGCCCCCAGAGCGCCCCAAGAGGCCTCCAAGACGGCACACGAGGACTTTTTTAAGACGCCCAAGATGGCCTCCAAGACGGCCCTGGAGCATTCCAAGAGGGCCCCAAGTCGGCCCATAGCGGCCCCCCAAACGGCTTACGACCGCGTCAGACGGACCAGAATCCACCAAGACGGCCGAACATGGCCCTAAGATGGCCCAAGACGGCCCCGGCCCAAGAGGCCTCCAAGAAGGCCTCCAGGAAGGCCCGAAAAGGCCAAAATCATTGATTTCCCACGGGTTTTTGAAGGATTGTAGCATTTGCTTTTTTTCTGCCTTCCGACGGCCCGAGACGGCCCAAGTGCCCCCAAGACACGGCCCCCAGAGGCAGAGGTCTCCAAGACGCTCAAGATGGCCTCCAAGACGGTCCAAGAGCCATCCAAGACGTCCTCCAAGAAGGCCCGAAAGGGTCAAAATGGCCTCCAGACGGCCAAGATGACCTTCAAGATGCCCACGTGTTCCCCGAAGGCTTTCCAAACCGATTCGGGGAACACATGGTCCGATAGCTTGGCAGGTCTGGCCTCAACGTTCGGCCACATAGACGCTTCCAAAAAAGGCAGGGGGCGGCGGTGATTCTCCATAGGCGTCTTCGATCCGCCGCCCCCTGTCGATTCACCGCAGGGGTGCCTGGCGTGCCGAATCCTACCGGCCACCCGGAAGGATGCCGAAAGATCTTCCAGAGGTGGTTGCAAAAGGTTTTGTCCGTTCCAGACGGCTCCAAGATGGCTCAAGATGGCCTCCACGACGACCCAAGATGGCCTCCAAGACGGCCAAGAGGGCCCCAGCAGGATGCCTCCAAGACGGCCCAAGATGCACCCAAGACAGCCTAAGATTGCCTCAAGATGGCCCAAAACGGCCCAAGAGGCTCCCAAGAGGCCTCCAAGACGGCCCAAGAGGCCTCCAAGAGGTCCTCCAGGAAGGCCAGAAGAGGCGAAAATTATTGATTTTCTTCAGGTTATTCGAAGGTTTTTGGCATTTGCGCCTTTTCGGCTTTCCGACGGCCCAAGACGGTCCAAGAGGCCGCCAAGATCGCCCCAAAACCGCCCACGAGGCTTCCAAGAGGGCTCCATGACGGCCCAAGAGGCCTCCAAGACGGCCCCAAGAGGGCCCCAAGACGGCCCAAGAGACCTCCAAGACGCCCAAGATGGCCTCCAAGACGGCCCCGAAGCGCCACAAGATGACCCCAAGTCGGTTCAGAGAGGCCGGCCAAGGAGGCCTTTAAGAGACCCAAGATGGC